TTTATATTTTTGTGAAAGGATATTATAACCAGCTTGGGTTGTATATCAATTTAAATAACACACCACCTATTTCTATGTTTAAATTACACACCACCTATTTCTATGTTTAAATTACACACCACCTATTTCTATGTTTAAATACTCCTGCTTAAAATCTCCTCTTTTTTTTTTGATGTTGTTAAAAAATAGTTTCACATTATTGGTGGGTTTTTTTGAGATTTTTCTTATAGTGTTTTTGAAATTAATTCTAACATGGGAAGGAAAGAAAAAAAAGGATAGACTTGGTGCTTATAATTGCTATCTTACTTTAGTTTATGCATAGATAATAAATTAAAATGAAACAAGAGACAAATTTGAGATATCAAGTAATTTGAGATAAACATTTAAATTTGGTAAGATTTGATGAAATGACTAAAGGTGATAATAATAAGATAAGAAAATATATAAGATGATATTAGAGAATGATTTAGAAAGATGAAAAATGTTTTTTTAATAACTAATTTGTTAAACTTAACACTGAAATATAAAAAGCTAAAAAATTGTACTACTTTTTGAAACAATTTGATGTATAAGGCCAGCCTAAAATTTGCAGGTTTTATACATCAAATGATTGGTTTTTAAACATTGAATGGTTGATCCTTGAACTTTGAATGATTAGTTTTTGAACATTGTATGATTGGTCCTTGAACATTGAAATAATTTTTTATTAATGTAATTTTTTTATTTGAATTCTCCTGCTATATTTTTCTATACAATACTCTTATATTTAAATATATTGTTGGCTTAGCATAGGAACAGCCACAAATATTCATTAAGACTAATCCAAAGTAGCATCTGTTATTGATTAACATTTTTGCATACTGAAGTACTAGTGAGTTGGTGGTGTCAGGATTTGTACTTGTATTGCACAACAGTCCGGTTTTTAACTTTTTGTTTGATGCTCTAACCAACTGAGCTATCCAGCCACAAAGATTGGTCCTTGAGCATTAAAATGATTAGTCCTGTACATTGAATGCAAAAATACTTTTTGTATACTGTTACCAAGTAAACAAGTAATTCAATATTTTAATAACTTTGAGGAGAATATGAATTCAACAAAAATGGCTTTTTAACTTGTAGTTAAAAATTGTAGCATAAAAACTTTTTGTTAGTGCAAAAAAGTTATAATATATATTAACTTTTAAATAAAAAAAAAAATTATACAAAAACAATTAATAGTATAAACACTATTGATTAAAAATTTTGAAAATAGTTTAAAGTTTATATTAAGCAAAAACTATTTACTAATGGTGAAGTAAAAAAGCAAGCAAGAAGCAAGCAAAAACCATTTAATAATGATTAAAATTATTATGTTGTTAAAATAAGGTTTACTTTACTCTTTTATTACCTCAGATTTGAGAATACAAATAAAGTATTTCTTTGTTCTTACTTCAGATTACTTCAAAAAATATGAACTATTAGTACTATTTATATGAATAAAAATGTAAAATCTGTTGTTACTCTACTATACTTTGTACAATTTTTTCTGTTAAAATGTTGATGTGTTGGAATGTCAAGAGATTAGTATGTTAAAATGCCAGAGATTTAATTTGTTGGAATGTGTAAAAGTTGTTTTTTTAGGATGTCAGGAAGTTATTTTGTTGGAATTTATGAAAAATATTTTGTTGGGATGTCAAGATGCTGGTTTGTTGAGGTGCCAAGATAATGGTGTTTTGGAATATCAAGAAATATGTGTGTTGTTGAAGTTGATGTTTTGGGATGTCAGTAAATTAGAAATTTGGGATGTTAAAAAGTTGATGTGTCATTGTTATTAAAAATTTAAAAGCAATTTCTTTCTATAGGCAATTAAACAAAAAAGTTAATGTTGAAAGTTTTAAAGTTCTAGCCACTTAGAAAGTTGATGAACTTTTTAGACAAATACATGAAGCTAATAAAAGTGTTGTGTAATAAAAAAGAATATCAATTAAGATTTATAATATTAATTTTTAGTTAATTGCCATTTTGATTATGGTAAAAGCATTCAAAAAAGTGACGTGTCTATGTTACTAAACAGTCAATTTTACTCTGTATTACAAGATATAATTAGTTTTAAAAAAATTCTGTAAAAATTTTTTTTGTTTGTTTGCTTTTAATTATTTTAAGAGAAAAGTTTAATTTAAAAAAAAGTGAAACTAAAGTTATATACTTAATGCCTCTGTGGTATTTTTAAAGTAACAGTATTGCATTATTAATTTTTTATTTTTTGTTATGTTATTCGTATAGAAGGAATGATATAGGCCCTACTATTAGCGATTCTGAAGATAGTGAAATGAGAAAAGAGGTCAGTATATTTAAAATTTTTTTTTTGAAGTACAGACTAACCAAGTATTAAACCATTTATAAATTTTTAGGAGAATAAAGGAAAAATAAATCAAATTTCAAAGGAAGGTCTTGTAAAAGAAATTAATAAATTAAAAATTGAAAAAGAACAAGTAATTTTTTTTTAACTATTGTTATACTTATTCCAATAAATGTATTTATTGTTTTACACTCAAGTGGTTTTGGATGGGTTTCCATAGTGCCATTTTGGATGGGTTTCCATAGTGCCATTTCGAATAGGTTTCCATAGTATCATTTTCTTATTTAAGTAATATATTAAAGTTCATTTTTAAAACCAGATACAATTTCCGTTAATTTGTTTTGCAGATCAGGATTAGTTATTTTTATTGCGATACTACAACTAGGAAGATAATAAGTTTTTGAGCTCCCTTACCACTAGGAAGATACTAAGGTTTATAAGCTCCCTTACCAATAGAAAGACACTAAATTTTATGAACTCCCTTACCACTTGGAAAATACTAAGGTTTATGAGCTCCGTTACCACTAGGAAGATACTAAGGTGTATGAACTCTCATACCACTAAAAAGATACTAAGGTTTATGAGCTCCCTTACCACATAGAATATACTAAGGTTTATGAACTCCCTTATATCAAATATGTATATCAAAGTTTTCCTTCCTCTAGATAAGTTGTTTTCACAGCTTACTTATTCTTATATCAGTTTTATTTCATGACCAGAACAAATGTTCTTATATAGGATCAGTTTTATTTCATGATCAGAACAAATATTCTTATATAGGATAAGTTTTATGTCATGACCAGAACAAATAGTCTGATAAAATATAAAATTTGAAATTTTATAGCGTGAAAAAGAGTTAATAAAGTTTCATGAAGAACAGCTAAAGGAAAAAGATGAAATTTTGTTTAAAAAAGAACAAGAAGCTAAGGTATTTTTTTTTTAATTTTACAATTTTAGAAAATTCAACACAATTTGAAAATAATGCATTGTTGATCAAGGTGAAAATAATTATTTTTATTCATACATATGAAATGTGTTTACTTACCTAGGTGTAGTGACAAAAAAAATGTCTTGCAGGGCAAATAAGCTTTTTTTTTTAGCAAAAAATGACTAAAATATTGCTAATTTTAGTGGGAGGTGTAAAATTAATAATTAAAAATGGGAGCACCATTTTTAAATGGTTAAATTTTCTCAAATTTAAATTTGCCAGTAAAATATTAACTTGCAAAACAACTAATGCGTTTCTAATTTCTATTGTTTGTAAGTGAAAAAGTAATTGAAATTCACTGATCGTTGTTTACTTCAATCTACAAAATATATTTTTAGTACACAAGAAAAGATAAAAGTAGAAGAATTTGATTGGTTTTTTCAGGGTTAGAAAAACATTATACAGCATACATAGAAATAGAACACAGCATACATAGAACCAAAAATTTTATTTCTCTTTACTCCTAAAAAATCTACTAAAGAAAAAAAGTGCTAAAATATTAGCACAGTTAGTTGAATGGATTTATTCATAGTATTTAGAAATCATTACAAAACTTGTGTGACAATCCAATAAATGTAAATGTGAGAGTTATTATACAATTTTTGAATAAATGTTTGTAAAAAATTAAAAAGGCTAAAGTGTAAACAATAGGTTTTAAAAAATTAAAAAGTATAAACAATAGATTTTAAAAGTATAAACAATAGGTTTTAAAAGTATAAACAATAGGTTTTAAAAAATTAAAAAGTATAAACAATAGATTTTAAAAGTATAAACAATAGGTTTTAAAAGTATAAACAATAGGTTTCAAAAGTATAAACAATAGATTTTAAAAGTATAAACAATAGGTTTTAAAAGTATAAACAATAGGTTTTAAAAAATTAAAAAGTATAAACAATAGATTTTAAAAGTATAAACAATAGGTTTTAAAAGTATAAACAATAGGTTTTAAAAGTATAAACAATAGGTTTTAAAAAATTAAAAAGTATAAACAATAGATTTTAAAAGTATAAACAATAGGTTTTAAAAAATTAAAAAGTATAAACAATAGATTTTAAAAGTATTAACAATAGGTTTTAAAAGTATAAACAATAGGTTTCAAAAGTATAAACAATAGATTTTAAAAGTATAAACAATAGGTTTTAAAAGTATAAACAATAGGTTTTAAAAAATTAAAAAGTATAAACAATAGATTTTAAAAGTATAAACAATAGGTTTTAAAAGTATAAACAATAGGTTTTAAAAGTATAAACAATAGATTTTAAAAGTATAAACAATAGGTTTTAAAAGTATAAACAATAGGTTTTAAAAGTATAAACAATAGGTTTTAAAAGTATAAACAATAGGTTTTAAAAGTATAAACAATAGGTTTTAAAAGTATAAAAAGTAGGTTTTAAAAAATTAAAAAGTATAAACAATAGATTTTAAAAGTATAAACAATAGGTTTTAAAAGTATAAACAATAGGTTTTAAAAAGTAACTATTAAAGAAGTATTTATTGTCTTATGAAATATTCTTAATAATTGATAATTCAACAGGCTTTAAAGTCTTGTTTTATATTCCAGTTTGAAACTTTCTAGAAAAACAACGATGTTTCTCTAGAAAGTTTCAATAAAAATACCAAAGAAATAAAGTTTTGACGTTAACAAAACTGTAATAAGATTTAATTGGTTTACTTGCAATGATTGACATAAAACAAAAAAAAGTGAAAATAACCAATCATCTGTATTTAGTACCCAGAAATCAGTTAACTAGTGTCAAGATATTTTTAAGATTTTGTAAAAACCTGGTAATAAATAGTCTGGATGAGGTTTTACCAATAATTTATTGTAGAATTGGTAAAGTTGATCTACTGATTTACCATTAAAATGATATTGGCAAAATAAATTGAAAAAGTACATATAAAATTGTCCATTGTTTTAATTGAAAAATTGAACAACGATATATACTCAGCCAATATAAATCTCATATAGTACAAAATAAAGTATACTTTTCTACCTAACACCTAAATAAATCTTTTGATGTCAAAATAGATAAAATTTTCAGCTTCTAAAACAAAAACTAATGTACGATTTGTCATTATTAAAAAAAAAATTATTATTTTTTCAAATTTCTAGTCAAAAATGACATTCTTTGAAAACATTTTAGGAAAGAGTAAAAAAAGGTTTTACTTATCCTTGATTGGACAACAAGATGGAGTTTACTGACAGTAAACAGTTTATTAAGGTCAAACTTTCAATCATAAACATATTAAATGCCATTTCTTGACATAAGATTTTCAGTGATTACAAAATGAACAATTTACATGTTGCTGCTTTTAAGTTAACCAGTTTAGCAGCAAAAGATTTTTGCCAAAAAAATTCAACTCTTATTTTTTAAGATTCTGGTGAATCGACAACAGGATTTAAGTCTCTGTATTTCTATAAGACAAAAACCAGCAAAACCAGATCAAAAGTTTTTTTAAAGAAGAGTATTTCTCAAAATTCCTCTTTCAACTGAATTCTGGAAAGCAATTTTATTTTAAAAAAAAAAAAAAATGTTGAACTTTTGTTTAATATATCTCTCCAAAAATTATTGAGTTAGTTTAATAACATCAAAAATTATTGAGTTTAGTTAGTTTAATAACATCAAAAAGGGTTATCGTATTATTAGTTTATTGTATCATCACTTTCACTTTCATATCAGTTTATTGTATCATCACAATCGTATCAGTTTATTGTATCATCACAATCATATCAGTTTATTGTATCATCACTTTCACGTCAGTTTATTGTGACACTTTTTCAAGTGATACTTTAAACTACTTTTTTGATGTAAAAGGCGTTATCCTGGTTAACTTAAAAAGAGAAAAAAAACTTTTTTTATTAAGAAAAACATTTTTTGCAGATAAAAGGGAGAAAATCATAGAAAATATACTAAATTGTTATTTAAAAAAGCCTCTTTTTACTTTCAAAGTCATCTGTGTATATATATTTGGGAATTTTTGATTTAGGATGGATTAAATTTTAAAATGAATTTAACTTCAAACAGTTTTTTAAAACTATTTTTATAACTTAATGAGACTGAGGCTTTGTAAAGATATCTATTTATATCTAAACCTATTTAAAGATGTGTTTAACTTCACTTTTATTGTGAAATAGTACCATTATGCTCCCTTTTAAAATATTGGCTCATTTAATTAAAAACACAAAAATGTCCAAGTTTGACCTGATTACTTTCAACCAAACAAGATTTTCTTATTTGGTTCTAAATTTTTTTTATTTTTTTTAAAAAAGGTTTTTATCATAACATCCAGCGCTCAAAATAGTTTTTCAAAGCAGGTTATTTTCCCTTGAATTTTTCAAAATTTCCGATATTCCTTTTCTTTGTATGCCAAAAACTAGTAATAAGAAGACCTTTATAAGATGTGAGGTATTTTTTTGGGCCTTTAGCTATGTTTTGTGCTGAAGGTGTCAGTTCTAAAACAGTTTCCTGAATAATATCTAGCACATCTAGCACAGAGAGTACACCTAGATAATGTTTGACAAATTAGTTTAATTCTTTCACTCTATCTTGTTTCTGAAAGACTTTGAAGAGAACGACATGTACTTTTTTTAGGATTTCAAGCAGGATTGTGGATAACAAGCAGTAGAAACTTTCTATTCTTATAATTACTACTATATTTCTATTTTTTCTTACTTACAGTTGGTAGTATTATTGTAATTTACCTTCCGAATCAAAATGTTTTTAAAATTATACAATTTTAAATTACCATTTAACTACTTTTAATGCTGTATTATTTTTACTTATAATTTTACCTGATATTAAGTTCAGCATGAAGTCCATTTAATCAACTTTTAAATTGTTTAAAAGATTGTAACAAATGTAACAAATTTAAAAACATCTTTTTATTGGGAGTAACAGCAGAGCAAAAAATTACATTGTTGATTCAACTTTAAAAATATTTTTATCTTTTTAAGTTTAAATTGTTTAAAGTAATTTTGTATCCAATCTAAATTTTAGAAAAGAGAACAAGAACTAAAGGAAGAAATTTTAAGTTTGAAAGCCGATCTTAACAATGTAAGTTATCATAAAGTTATCCTATTTAAGTTTACAAAGTTGAATTCTTTGCAAAGTTGGATTATTTTTATTAGAAAACCTTAAAATAATAATTTTTTAGTGTTAAAATATAAACATATTATTGTAAAGATGCTATAAAATTTTTATTGTTGCTGTAAAATATTTTCAATCAGCTCTTGAGTGTTTCAAATTAGATATAATTTATTGAAATTTAAAAATTAAATGTTGTATATATTTATTGAAATTTATTGAAATTTAAAAATTAAAGCTTGTATATATTTAAAACTAGTTTATATGTTTAAACTAGTTTTAAATATATACAACTATATTTAAAACTAGTTTATATGTCTAAACTAGTTTCATATGCATAATCAAAATTGAAAAAAAAAAAATTTAACTGCATAATAAAGGTTTTTCACAGATGACACTTATCTGAGATGACACTTGACTTAAATGTCCAACTCTTTCTTAGTATCTTTGTATTATTTGGATTCTTTTGTGATTTTTTGCATAAAAAAAAACTTTTAATACTGTAACTATTTTTTAAATATAATAAGAACAGCTAATCAAAATAATTTTTATTTTAGCAAAACAGCAAACTTCAAGATAATTATAACATCTTGCTGTCACTTCAAGAGCAACTACTTTGCATGCAACAGGTTTGTTATTGTTTATTTCTCTGCGTGTGTGTTGTTTATATATATATATATATATATATATATATATATATATATATATATATATATATATATATATATATATATATATATATATATATATATATATACATATATATATATATATATATATATATATATATATATATATATATATATATATATATATATATATACATATATACATATATACATATATATATATATATATATATATATATATATATATATATATATATATATATATATATATATATGTCCACAAATCATTTCTTTGAGACCTTCACTTGCCTCTTTAAAACTTTATACAAGATCAAAAGTATAAACAAAAATATTGTCTTTAATTTTTGCATCACTTAATTTTTGAAACTTCCTAAATACCTTAAAGCCTGTCCTTTTTTGTTCATACCTTAAAAAAAAAAAATTATTAAACCCAACTTAATATGAAGGGTCATTTGGATCTACAAATAGTTCATAATATTAAAATGATATTTTTTTTCATCTGTGTTGAGATTTCTTGCAGGTTAGTCCTTATTTATGTGATGTAAACTTCTGTGTCTACTGTTTCATACAAAAAAGCACCAGTATTTAGTATAATTTTTGTTTATGTAACAAAAATTGTACACAAAGTTTATACACTTCCTTGATTTGTCATATTGATTTGTCAAGTTATGTGTACAATAGTAAATAAAAAAAAACTAAGAATAGATAAGGTCAGAAACTTTAACAAACACACATAACTCACATCACAAGTTTTAAACATGAATATAACATTATGGAAAAAAACTAAAAAATGTTTGTTTATTTTTTCAAAAAAAAACTTATGTTTAATTTTCTTAAACTAGAGATCTTTTTTGTCATTTTTAAATTTAGCGGGTGGAAATATGAAATAACTATTTTTGGTTTTAAAAAAATCATTGCTGTTCAGTGTAATTGATTAAAATTGCTGCCTTGCTTAAGTTCTCCTTTTAGTTTAACTTGTTTTTGATATGAAAAAACAAAAAAAAACATTGTGGTTTTTTACTGCTGTTTTTACCACTTTCCACCATTTTTGCTGTTGCTTTTGAATTTTCTTTTTTCTTTTTTTACTTAGCATAAAAACAACAGTTTATTAAAATTATTTTGAAATATAAACTTCAACAACAACAGTTGTTTGGTTTCTAATTTTTTTTTTCTAATTATTAAATATTCTGCTTTAATGAAGATTTAACATGTAAAATTACTGAATTATAAATTACTGAATATAAATTATAACATAAATTTATTAAACATAAATTGCTGTTTATAAATTACTAATTATAAATTATAACATAAATTACTTATTATAAATTACTGGTTTTAACATGGAAAATTACAGATTTTTACATAAATTTTAACCTTATAACTTAATTATTTAATATTAAGCACAAATTAAAACTTGAAAATCTTATAATACACAAAACTTAAATAAAGATAGTAGCATGTATTTTTTTGATGTCAAAAACCAAAGTTTTGGGTAGATGAAGACTTTTTTCCTCCTATTAGAGCCAAGTTTCATATATAAAGCTAACAGCATTCGTAGGAAGTTCTGCTCAACACAAGTTTAAACGAAGATTATGTTGTTTAATGCCCAGTCCTATTTATATTGTCAGCTTTGGTGTCTTCTAAAATTAGACTCATTCGGTTGTCTAAATGTTGCATAAAATAATGCACTTTGTCTGATTCTAAACAAATTACCTTGGAACAGTGATAGAGAATTATTTGTAAGGCATGGTGGCCATCCATCTTATGTTGTTATTTGTAAGCAACAATACTCTTATTTATTATTGTTGCAAAACAGTGAGAACCTATATTATAAAATCTTTTGTTAACTCGGACAGGTTCTTGCAATCTCCATTGATATATAAATGTTCAGAGTTATATTTATGGCGTCATTTTTTTTATATTTAGCACATTTTCATTATTTTATTTTATTCTATTTATTTACTGAGTTAATTTGGACCTTATATTAATTTGTAATTAAAATCATTAGTATGTAAATAAGATTGATTGATTGATTGGTATATATGTATTTAAAAAGTCTTTGCAAGTATTTTTCAAACATTTATATAAGATTTTTATATTTATAAAATTATAACTTTTATTTTCTTTAGACTCAAATAAGAAATGTTATCAGTGTAAGTCATAAATATTTTTTAAACATTCTAACATTGCTTATTAAGTGTTATTAATATAAAAGTTATTTTTAAAATATGTTATTAAAATATTTAAATTTCAAAAAGAATTTAAAATTGCTTATTAAGTTTTATTTATCCTTTGTTAAACTAAAGTTTGACTAAAATTTGTTTTATTGAAAATATGACAAAACTTTTTACATTTTTTTTTGAAATTTGTAATATTACTCTAAAATTTGATATATTACTCTGAAATTTGTAATATTACTCTAAAATTTGATATATTACTCTGCAATTGACTAATTTACACAGTTGTCATGAACAAAATAATTTTAACTTATAATGAAAAACAACAAGAAGCAATACTTATTTCAATACTAGTTATTGAATACTTATTTCTTATAAAAAAGTATGAGTACTTTTTTCTTATAAAGAAGCATGAGTACATATAAAATATTTTTTAAATTTTAGGGTAATTCCAGATCAGACTAATTTTGAGGGTAAAGCCAGATTCGATTGACTTACCCATTAGTTTAAAACTATGTTGATCAATTTTTTACTTATTTTTAGACAAGTTTTCCGAGAAATGACCCCCCGGTTTATACGAAAGAATCAGGCTCCAAAAGTTCTATTTGTGATCTTATGTAAACTACCTTGGGATTATCTTGTTTCCTTGACTACTCACCCATGATTTTGATAACAAAATTGTTTTATATTTTTTGTATCGTTTTGATATTAAGGCTTGTACTGTAAAAGATATTTAAATTTTTATTATTGTTATTATTATTTGCTAAAATGTATATAGTGTAAAATATAAATTTTTAACATACTGTATATTTACTGCATATTTATTATAAGTGAAGTTTTATTAAACAATTTAAAGCTTAAAAAACATTGTTTTTATTTCACGTCAGGTGTGTAAACATTTTTCGGGGATTAGATGTGGATTTAACAGTGGGTCAGGGCCAAAACCTCGCCTAGAGTTGCAAACAAAACTTTTTTTTTTTTTACTACCGTTTTTTTTTTACTCTTAAAAAAATTTGGTTTCTTAGGGATTTTTTTGGTTTTTATAAATTTTTATTGTTTTTTTTGTACTTAATTAAAACTTTTTTTAAAATGTTATTAACTTTTCTAAAATAATTCTAACTAGTCTTTTTTTGAGTTTTTTTAGATTTTATATTAAATTAATCTAGTTTTATAAGTGTGAAAAAGTTAAGAGAGTTAGCTTTTTTTTTTTATTGGTAGAATGTTTTGATTGGTAGAATGGTTAATTAACTGTTGCTTTTTTATCAAAATTTTTTATCTTTTCAAATTTTTTTTAATTTTAGGTGTAAAATTTGATTACAACCTACAATTTTATTTTTTTATTTATTTATTATTTTTTGCCTCTAGTGTGACCATAGATTCCTTACGCGTGCTTAATACAAGAGGATGATGGAATTAAAGGAGGGGGTGAGAATTGGTATAAATCTGATTATACATGTAATACACAAAACCATGGTCAAGGTCCTAAAATCTACAAAACAAATGCAAGAGCATTAATTAGTTTTGGTGAAATCGGTAAAGGTTTTACTGCAACGGAAACATTTTCTCAATGCATGAATATGTTTTCTTTATCTAAAATAACATTCTCTAACCTTAATGACAATAAAATTTATACAGCATATGAGAAGGTTGCTTTTAATAGTATGAAAAAAGCAGTTGAAAAAAATCAAGACAAAACATTAAATATTCCAACAAAACAAAGAGTGACAATTGATGGCTCTTGGCAAAAGCGGGATTTTACATCACTAAATGGTGTTGTAACCGCTGTCGTCAATAACAAAATTATAGATACTAAAGCTTTTTCTAAGCATTGCAAATGTTGTTCAATATGGAAAAAACAAAGATGATCACCAGCCTACAACAAATGAAAAGCAGATCACATATGTCACATTAATCATACAAAGTCATCTGGTGCAATGCAAGCAGCTGGCGCATTGGAAATCTTTTCTTGATCGGTTGAAAAATTTAATTTGATTTATCATGAATACCTAGGGGATGGTAATACTTTATCTTTTAAAGAAGTTGAAGAATCTAATTTAAAATGTATAATATTCAACCAATAAAATTAGAATGCATTGGGCAGGTGCAGAATCTACTTGGTACACGCGAAAAGTTCTACATAAGTATAAAGGAACAGAGAAACCCCTACACGGAAAAAGAAACTTGACTAATAGTGCAACTAACTTAATGCAGAATTATTATGTTATTGCAATTAGAAATAACATTTACAACATTTATGCAATGAAATAAACAGTAAGAACAGTTTTGTGGCACAGCACAAATTTCAGTGATAATGGCATTTATCATTCTATGTGTCCTAGGGATAAATATTCCTAGTGCAAGTCGCAACTATACAAGTTTAAAGGTACAAATATACACACTAACAAAATTAACTTACCTATCTTTATTCATAATATAATAAAACCTATTTTTAAAGATTTATCTGGTGACGATTTGCTAATTTGCTAATGTTTTTAAGGCCAAACTCAAAATTCAAATGAAGCATTTCATTCAATTTTATGGACTCGTTGTCCTAAAAACATTTTTGTAAGTAAAAGAACATTTGAACTGTGTATAAACTCTGCAATAGTTCATTATAATGATGGTGGAGATGGAGTAAAATCTGTTTTAAGTTAGTTCGGATTGTTAGGATCAGTGGCTATTCCAAAACTGGTTTTAAAGGACCAAAAACGAATTGTAAACAAGCGTTGTAAATCAACTTCAATATGCATAAAGCAAAGAAAAAAACTTAGATCTCTTCATAAGGGATACTTAGATGCTGAAAAACAGATACATATAGTTCTGGTAGCTTTTAAGGAGTGTTTATAAACATAAATTTTGATTTTTAATTTTTGATTTGATTTTTCTCATTTTGAGATTTTTATTTTTCATTTTAAAGCATCTCCAGTTTAAATTAAGCAGTTGATCTGAAATTTTCAGGATCTTCATACATGTCTCATTTTTCATAAGATTTTTAAAAATTTCTTATTTTTTTGGGTACTACAATGTTTTATCTACCAGAGTTTTTTCATAAAAATATATTAAAGTTTAAAAGTCAATATAATCTGAACCAGGAAAGCGAATTTAAAAATCCTATAAGGGGTCGTTCGCAAATTACGTCACGCTTTTAGGGAGGGGGGGAACATAGATTTTGTGACAAGCTGTAACATGGGGGAGGGGTTAGAAATTTTTGTGGCGTCACGGATGATTTGATCAAGTTCTTTAATTTTTTATAGCTTTAAAATTAGTTAAATATACAAATGTATTATCAATGCAGTGGCATCGCTGAAGGCAAGGAGTAACGACTTTTTTAACTTTATCTTTTTTTTTTTTTTTTTTAAAAAGTTAATTAAAAAATAAACTCGAAAAAAAAAAGAAAGAATTTTAAAGAAGAGAATAAAAGCAATTTCTCTAACAAAAAAAAGGAAAAATAAAGAAAGAAAATTTGTATGTACTCTTGTAATTTTTGATTTGCATAATTTATTTCTTTGTTTAGTTGCGTTTTTGGTTGTCATTGTCCATTGTGTATGTGTTTGAGTTGTTTTTAAATAAATTTATATGTCTATTTTAAATTAATCAAACTTATATGTCTATCTTTGTTGTCAATTTATTATGGAGTAAAACCTAATTTTTAAAGAGCGGCCTATAGCTCTTATACCTAGGTATAAGAGCTAACGGCCCTAGGTACAAAAAAGCTTACTGCACCTAGAGCCACTAACTTTTAAACCCCAATTAATATAGAGATTTGATTGATAGCTCGTCATCAATTGTAATGGCTTCAGATTGTAGAAGAGGACTAACGTCGTTAACAGTTGTGAGGGTTTTACATCGAACCGTTACTAGTAATACAAATTCAGAAAATGATAATCATTTTTTTAAATCTTTTTTTTTTTTTGGCTGAGCTGCTCACAGGTCAGATTTTTTATGACATGTTTAAAAGCTGTAAACATTTCTCTTGGCAACATACAAGTGCTTTGATTTGCCAGCGTTTAGTTTCTTTTTCATAGAGGAGAAAACAAATAACAAAGGTTATTTGTTCAGAGTGAGATGTATAGGGGGTATCATCGAGTTAGATGGTGAAGTATATACCATCCTGGATTTCTTTGACAGCAGCATTTCGAATGATACTATATTCTTTGATAAACTCATTTTGAGACGACGGAGAGAAGTAACGGGCACTCACTTTACGAATGTTTTTTCACCTCCAAACAAAGTTGCATATAATAATTACAATTAAGTTATTACAATAACTATATAAATAATTGAAGTTGATATTGAGAAAACTTTATAATGAGTTACCTAGAAAAGCTAAATTCCTAGAAGCCAGGAAAACAGTCACACCCAAAATTCCATTAAGAATCGTCTACCATTTAGCTCTCTCAGAATTTATTCACTTCTGGAGCTCTAAATATATACCAGACGAGTGTATGCTTCTTTCCAATCCATGTAGAACTTTTGGTGCGATGGGCTGCATTGACGCTGCTTCACACAAAATATGAGTTTCCTCCGTTGATTCTTAGCTTTTCTGTTCGAACGAAGATGCGACAATTAGCCGCTTTTGAATAATTGCTTTTGTGCTAGGGGTCTCTTTAAAATAATTCATTACATCTTGATCTTTTCAACACAAAACAACTGACCACAAAGAGGGGTCAGCATTAATTATTACCAAGTCAGGTTGGACATCACATTCTTTACTGTTACATAAAGTTTCTCCTTCTGATTCTAATGATTTACTTAAAACTCATTTAGTTCAGCTTCAGGGGAATCGTTTGAACCCATAGTCCTTTGAATAACACATATTAAGTGCAGTAAACTACACATATTGAGTGCAGCAAAGATACAAAAAAGTAAAAAATATTTGATAACTGGTTGGGTCCTGGTAGAGGCAAGGATACTATTTATGGGTTTCTTCAACAACCACGTTATTGAAGAAGTTGAAGCCATGGAACGTACTACTTAACAAAGTTTTAAGTGTTATCAGTATCGACTGCTTCAAATCAAAATTTGATCAGTTACCATAATAATCACCACAGCACATCATCTTCCGTACTAGCATTGCCAACTGTTCGTGGGCTTAAGGAACACGCCCGCTTCCGTCTAATTCTACTACAACTAAATCCTATTTTTTTTTCGTAAAAAACAGTTTATAATTAATTATAATGATAGAATTTAAAATTTTCATTTTTTTTTTATGTGCATTTATGTTCCGAATACTAAAGTTTCAATCTCAAACACAAAAACTAAGCAGATTTCAAATTGTCACTCATTAAAATGTTTTCTATTTATTGTAAAAAAAATAAAAATAACAAAAAGCAAATTTTCTGGCGTCCTTTTAAGCTTGGCATATTGAAATTTTTTTTTTAAGATAATCGGTGCCGCGTACTGCAACAGAATGGCCGATTCCGGGTACCCGTATCACTAAAATACACATCACTAATATTTCTCTTCTTCGGCCAATGCCTTTCAGAGATAATAATGAATACAATAGTTTTTTAATATTATTTTTTACAAGTTTTGGTCTACCGTTCCATTATTAAAAAAACATAAAACATCAACAAACAAACAAACAAAAAAAAAAAAAAAAAAAAGTCCAAATGCAAAAGCATATAAGAATATTTCAAAATATAAAATAAAGAAGAGTTTAAGAGCCATTGTCTGAGAAATATAGGCAAAGTTTGAAAGTAATGTCTTCAAAATGTCTTCATTTTCAGGTATTTTGTAAAAAACAATAAAAGTAGACCTCTGGTAAATTTTTTTTCAAAAATTCTTATTCGTTTCAGAGATATTGGGTCCCAAAATTTGGCCAAGTTTGTAAAAATATTTGCGCAAGGAGTGCAATAGCTACTT